CTAATAGAGTGAGAACTCACTCATTACTCCCCCCACCTAGGGAGAGCACTAATCCATTCATAAGGGATCCACCCCTGTGACTCAAACTGCCACATGGGGAGTGGTTGTTTAAAAGAGAGCTGGTTGTTTAAAAGACTCTGGCACCTCCTCTCTCTCTCTCTCTCTTGCTTCCTCTTGCCATGTGATCTGGTTGTACCCATCAGCTGCCTGCTGCTTTCCACCATCAGTAGAAGTAGCCTGAGGCCCGTGCCAGATGCAGAATTGTAAGCCAAATTTCCATGAGTTCTGGGAGGACAATGCATCCAAACTCCATCAAGTGGGTACTTTGTGAGACCCCTTTCTGGGCCCATCAAACCCCACTTTAGGGGCTGTCCAAGGAAACCTATTAAAGAATGGACAGACGAGAAAATGATACTGGAAGGAGAAGGTGTGGGCACCCGTGTCTCTCTGTCCCAGACCTTGGGAGCACAGGCACAAAGCAGTGAGATGGGGCCAGGAAACACCGTAGGCCGCTCTCTGCTGCAAAGCACCTCAACCCTGACCTGGGAGACCCAGAAGAGTTGACATGCTTTTCTGACTTTCCCCTCTCAGAAGCTCTAAGGAGTTAGACCTGAGCTATACCCTGAGGGTTCATGATCTTCCAGTAAACTGGGCAAGAATGGAGGAGATGAGACAGCCAACCCAGAAGAGTTGACATGCTTTTCTGACTTTCCCCTCTCAGAAGCTCTAAGGAGTTAGACCGGAGCTATACCCTGAGGGTTCATGATCTTCCAGTAAACTGGGCAAGAATGGAGGAGATGAGACAGCCACTGACCTCAGGAACTCCCCTCCCAGGGAGATAGGAGGTGGTGCCAAGGGCCTGACCCAGGGAGGAGTCCTGGGCCCTGCCTGAGGGAGCCCCTATGCTGGCTGGGAAGGGCAGACTCACCCCGAGGGCAGTTGGGACATGGGGGCTTATCCTCAGGGTGGTGGAGGTCAGAAGTCGGCTAGGCTGGAGCCTTCAGGGAAAGCATCCCCAAGAATGCAGACCCAAGGCCATGCTTATTTGGGAATATCAAAGGAAACACAGAGTGAGAAAACCCTGTGCGATTGGACAGATGGGAGGAGTTCTCATTACTCCTTTATATTCCACCTGTGCCCTGACAGGTGTATGAAGTGGGGCTTTGAAATCCGTCCTTGGCCGTGCTTGAGCTGGGAACCCATCCATGCTGCCAGGTGCCTGGGCTAGAGGGTGTGGTTGGCAAGGAGGCACAGTCCTGCCCTGGCTCCGCCTCTAGAACTCAGAAACATTGCCCACCCCACCCCCTGCCCCCATCCAGAGAGCTCCTCACTGTCCCCAGGGTTTAGCCAAAGACACTAAGGAGTCTGGGGAGCTTAGCCATTTCAAGACCAACATGGTACTTTTATTGGAATGAAACACAGCCTAGCTTCCCTAGAAGTGGCCAATTTTGGATCTCAAGGGCTCCCCAGGCTGGACTGGGCCCGGAATTTGTGGCCTGGAAACCATGGCACCATACCCAGCCACTCAACTCCAACCTGAGAGGGTCTGGGCGCCTGGTCCTCAGGGAGCCTGACTGTCTGCTTCCTCGTGTGTGGGTTGCTCCAAGGCAGTGTTGGAGAGGTGTGAGTCCACATTCAGGATCTGGGCATTGAGAATCGTGTTCTTCACCGTTTCCTCGGACACATCATCAGACAGTGTATCCTCAGTTGCAGTTTCCTGGCTCCTCTTCTGGAGGGAGTGGTAGGAGGGCAGGTCCTGGATCACATCTCTCAGGGTGCTGAGAAAAGCAGTGACTGAGGCACTTTCAGCCATGCCCTGCTCTGCATTCTTGAGAGGTGGGGCTTTCTCATTCCCACAGGGCCCCAACCAGGCTTTGCCATGAGCCCGGGAGGGATCCTGATCCCTAGGATCCAACCTGTTTCATCTCCCAACCCCAGCCAGACCCTTCATTTTCCTGTGTCTTTGGGGTTTGGTCCACCATCTTCATCACTAGCATTATAGAATACTTTCCATGTGCCAGACCCTGTGCCAACAGCCTTCAGTAGGTTTAATCCTCTCAAAAACCCTATGAGAGAGGAAGGCTGGACTACATGGCTTCATCTCTCTGTGGCTCAGTTTCCTTATCTGTAAAATGAGAATAGTGATAGGACCTACCTCATATTTGACTGTTTTGAGGACAAAGTGAGATAAGGCGTATATAGAACAGGACCTGACACGTGGTAAGTCCTCAGTAAATGCTAGCTATTATTATTACTGTTATAATTCCATTTTTCAAATGAAGAAACTGAGTCTCAGAGATATTAGGTAACTTCCCTGTGCACACTCTAGGAAGTGGTAGCGCACAGACAAATCCAGGCCCCGGGTTCGTAACCACTATGCTCTCTCCCTCTGCTGCACTGTACTTCCCCTCTACACAATGGGGCAAACTCCTATTCATCCTTCAAAGCCCTGCTCAAATGTCACTTCGTCTGTGACATTTTCCCTGACTCTCCAAACTGAAGCTCTTCCCTCTTTGGGCTCCTATTGGTCCTGTACATCCTGCTGTCAGAGTCCACTGGTGATAACCGTTTGCATATCTGTCTCCTCATAAACTATGGCTCGCTCAAGGGTGGGACCCTCTGACCTCTGACGATCTAGCCCTGGCACCGTGTCTAGCACAGGTGGTTCCAATGAGAGTTGGAGAGAGGGCGGGAAGGAGAAGGGTGGTGAGAAGGAGGGCAAAGGAAGGCCAGAGTCAGCAACTCCTGTCACACATAGCAGAGGACACTGTAGGACGCCAGGCAACCTCTGCCCCGAGAGAGGGCGGGAAGGAGAAGGGTGGTGAGAAGGAGGGCAAAGGAAGGCCAGAGTCAGCAATTCCTGTCACACATAGCAGAGGACACTGTAGGACGCCAGGCAACCTCTGCCCGTCACTGGTCCTCAGGTCCCCTCAGGTCAAGGGAGACAGTGACAGGCTCTGTTGGCCCAAATCCCAGAAGGGATGATTCTGCCAATCATGACAAGACTTCTCCAGGGGACACTTAGGAGATCAGAGGCCAGAAGTGCCTGTAGGTGTTGGGTGAAACCCAGTTCCCACACGGGGTTCTGGAATGCTGGGGCCGAGAAGCCAGAGCCATTAATCAAGATTGGTCATTCGTGAGGAACTGCAAGTTCAGACAGGAAAAGGGAGTTGCTCAGAGAGCTGGTTCCACGCCAGTCCCCTGTTCCCTGGGAGGGGAGGGAGGCCAGGGCATCTCTGGAGTGCCCCTGGAGGGTATCCCCAAGGCAGTACCCCCATGCAGACAGGTAGACAATGGGCCTGGCCTGGGCTGGGTCAGGAGAGCCAGGCAGGATGGGAGCATGTGGAGGTTGTGTTGGACCCAGGTTGGTGGCAGCATCCAGAAGAGCTGGGGAGACTGCTGTGTCATAGGCTGGCCTTGGACCACAGGTCCTGGCAAAGGGGCAGGGATGGACATTGCCTGACATACTCCCAGTGCGTAGGGCTTGAGAACAGGTCCCATGCTGGCAGAGCCTGGGCCCTCGCACACCTACCTTATCCACAAGGTGAGGTGCTCCAGGCTGTCGGAGAGGGGCTGATCTCGAGTTTCCGGCAGCAGGGAGGAAAAGGACAAGGCCAGGATGGCTGAGATGCAGCAGAGAAAGATGGGCAGGAGGCTGGGGGTCTGGGTGATGAGCGTTAGAGACAAGATGGCTCCAGCCACGGAGGCCAGACTCACTAGACCCAGACCTGTTGTCCTGAAATGGAGGTGAAAGCTCATCTGGAGTACCTCCTGGGCCCAGAGGCTGGGAGGGGTGGGGTGAGGAAGCAGCTACCTGAAAACCCACACCCTCCAGCCTGAGGTTATTTCCTCTGGGCCTTCTTCAGTGGGGAAGGGGGATGGGAAGGGAGAGGTCAGAACCACGTAGCATTGTGTGGATGTGCAGGGAGAAGACACAGCAGCAATGCTGGGTGGGCAGGAGGATACTGCAGCCATTGCCATGGGCTACCTCGGGGAAGGGGCCGAGCCTGAGCAGCCTGGACACATGCCAGGCAGTGAGTGAGGGGCAGGGACTGGAGGCAGACCTCCTGGGTCCGAATCCCTTCTCTGCCACTTGCTATGTCTGACCTTTAGCAAGCGCCTTTACCTCTGATTTTGTGTCTCAAATAGGGTTGATGGTGTTTGGTGGATTTTGGGGAGGAGGGCTGAGTGAGATAATCCATGTAAACTCCTTATCACAGTGCCTGTCACCAGGTGAATGCTGTCTCAGCTGCTTCATTAAGACTGTCATTGTCCTGTCCCTCCCCACGGCCCCGCAGCCCCCTCACCCACCAGGCCCCTCACCTGTGGACAGTGGGGAGGAGCTCAGCAGTGTAGATGAGGAACACGGTGACAGCGGCAGCCAGGCTGAACTCCCCGAGCACAATCACAGAGATCACTATGGATTTCAGCTCTGCGGCCAGACAGCATGGCCACCTGAGTCTGGGGCCCTCCTCCCCACACACCAGCCCTCCCACAGGCCTTTCAGCACTTCTGAGCAGTCTGCCCTACCACGTGGTCAGCAGCCTCGGGCATTCAGTCAGAGCAGGGTCCATCTGCCAGAGGCCAGCCAGGCTGGAAGTTAGTACATCTGCAGCGGGAGAGCTGGTCAGCGGGGTGGAGGGTGTTCCACTGGGACCCCTGTGGCCTCTCAGGTCACCCCCACCATGCTGGACCCAAGGCTCTCTCCTCTGCTCCACATCTTCACCCAGCGGCAGCTTTCCCCAACCCGCCCACGGGCTCCTCCTCCGGCAACTGCTCTGCGCAAGGCCTGCTCCTGTGTGCCCTGATCCCTGCTCAGGGCTCACCTGCCTGGCTCTGCAAGGTGGACAGGAGCAGGGGCATGTTTGGTCCCTGGGGCCTGAACTGCTGGGATTGGTCCTAAATATTATGGGATGCCTGACTCAGGGCAGCTAGATGTGTGTGCTGAAGGAGAATAAAAGACTCAGCATCTGGGGAAACCCCATTCCTCAGGTGGGGTGAAGCTGGGAGTTGCAGCTGGGCTCGCCTGCACCAGCCAGGAAGTGGCAGCCCCTCCCCTGTCAGCTTCTGCCAGACCCTGCCCCAGCCGCACTCCCCACTCTGATCCTGGCTTTTCTTGGCTCTGGGCTGAAATCAGAGAGCTAGTTTTTATCTATTGGGAATTCCGTTCCTCATTTCTGCCACACATTTGAGACTTTTAAATATTTCTGCTTTGGTCAGCATAGACCCACTTTTAAGAAAAAACACAAAGTAATAGAAACTTAGTGATAAATTTGTTTCCCTATATTGTTTTAGCCAACATCTTGGAGACGGAGTGTCCCCTTTGAGATATACACAATTCCAGCTCCCACAGAAAGGGAAGGAGCCCTCTGGGCAGACCCTGGACACAGCCTCCCTGTGCCAAAGGGGCTCTCGTGGTCCGGAATTCTGAGTCGGTGCACCCTGACACCTCAGTCCTGCCACACTTTATGACCTATGGCACATTCTAGAGCTCTTTGAAGTTTTTTTTTTTTTTTTTTTTTTTTTTAAAGCTGACCAGTAAGGGGATCTTAACCCTTGACTTGGTGTTGTCGGCACCACGCTGTCCCAGTGAGCTAACTGGCCATCCCTATATAGGGATCCGAACCCGTGGCCTTGGTGTTGTCAGAACCACGCTCTCCCTCTCTTTGAAGTTTTGAAAATATTTCCAGCCCTCCTCTTCTTCCTTTTCTAGTGCTGAGTCTGCAGCAGGAGGCACTGAGCCCTGCTAGAAAAGGAGGCCTCTATGCAAGAACTGTTCCTGAGAGTTGAGCCCAACATCACAGTCAATTTTCAGTGGGCAGGTTATTCCTGGTGAAGTTACAGATAATAACAGGCACTTCCCAACCAAAGAGGCTATAGACAAGAAGTGACGCCTGGGGTAGCAATGGAAGGAATAGTTTTGCCATCATTATTTAACCACTAGATCTGTCTCCGACATGGATCATTCAGTGGGCAGGTTATTCCTGGTGAAGTTACAGATAATAACAGGCACTTCCCAACCAAAGAAGCTATAGACAAGAAGTGACGCCTGGGGTAGCAATGGAAGGAATAGTTTTGCCATCATTATTTAACCACTAGATCTGTCTCCGACATGGATCAGAATCAGGCAGAAGAAGGCTGGCTAATCTCCCGCACAAGGGCGATTCCCCTGGACAGCACGCCTTCCTCTCAGGCCTCCAAGAGTGTGTGGGTGCCTTGTCTTGGGGACCCGCCCAGGGGCAGTGTTCCAGTGACTGGCATCTGTTCCAGAGGTGCTGGGCCTGTGTGGGGTGGGTGGGCTGTGGGTGCAGAAGCCCGACTCCCAGGGTGTGTAGTTGGCTGGCCAGGGCAGGAGGCACTCGGGAGGGATTTGAGGGAGCAGGAAGGCTGGGCATAGCCCATCAGGGAGGAGTGAGCTGTACCTGCGGGGAGGAAAAGGAGAAGCCAGCACAGGATGGCAGCTTGGACGACAGTCACAGCCAGGCTCCACTTCCTCCCTATCCGCTCGAGGAGAAGGATGCAGCACAGCCTGGCAGGCACTTCCAAGATGCTGGGGAACAACTGTCTGAAGTGTATGCTCACGTCAAAATCTCTCATCTTGAGGCTCAGCGTAAAGTAGCAATAACTGATGGTGAACCTGGAACGAAGCCAGGAGACACACACACACACACACACACACACACACACACGCACGCACGCAGAGACAGAGCCAGGAATAAAGACAGAGGCAAAGGAGGAGCAGGGCAGGAATGGAGGAGAGAAATAAGCACAGAGACCTGTGATCTGTGTCCTTAGGCCTCGCACCTCTTGCAGCCTGTCCATCCCACATCCCAGAGTTCCCGGCCTGCATGTGGGTTTGTGGTCCCTGCTGGCCAGCCCCGGGCACTCACCACACACAGCCCATCACCAAGGTCATCTTGCAGAGGTGCCTATTGTTATAGAAGTCCAAGACAGAGGCTGTATTCACCTTCTTTCCAGGCAACTGCAGCTACAGGACAAGCAGGACCAGCCAGAGGCAAGGCTGAGACCCCAGCTTGCTCCCTACTGCCACAAGACCTGCAAGGCCTGCCTGCCCCCCACAGTGCCAGCTGGCTTCTCTCCTTCTCCTAGCAGGGTTCAGTTTTGCTGTCACCATGCTCCTCAAGCAGTGGGCTAGGGGCACCCTCTGGGCTGACGTCCCACCTGAAAAGCTAAGCAGGGAAGAGGCCTTTCCACAGTGCACTGCCCTGGCCCCACTCCTGGCCCCACTCCTGGCCTGAAGCCTCTTACCTCATCCAGCAGATTTAAAGGAATGATCTTCTTATTCACGCTAGCTGCATAGCACAGTGCCTGCTTGGCCTCCTTCACCTTCCCTTTCATCATCAGCCATCGCGGGGACTCCGGGAGAATCCTGTGTGGCCCAGCTCTCTCTTATCTCATCGTTTCAGGATGCCCCAGAGACCCAAGTAGGCACCACCCCAGCCTCAGCTGTGGCCATCCTGTTCCAGCATGAGCGACTTAGATACCAGGGCCTTGAAGGTCAGCAGCAGCCTCGAGATGCCCTCTGCCCCTCCTGGCAGTCAGCCCTTCCTCTGTCTAAGCCATACACAGCCCCGCTGCTGCTTGGTGGCCCCCAGCTACTTGCTGCCTCTGCACTACAACCTCTTTTGCCCTCAGGCATCTCTCAGTGCAATAGTATTAAGAAATGGGACCTTTAGGAGGTGATTAGGTCACCTTTAATAAGAGATTCATGCCCTTATAAAAGAGTCCCAAGGGAGCTCATTTGTGGCCTTCCACCAAGTGAGGATGCAGCAAGAAGGAGATGTCTATAAGGGCCCTCATCACACCACATCTACTGGTGCCCTGATCTTGGGCTTACCAGCCTCTAGAACTGTGAGCAATAAATTTCTGTTGTTTATAAATTACCCAGTTCACACCACATCTACTGGTGCCCTGATCTTGGGCTTACCAGCCTCTAGAACTGTGAGCAATACATTTCTGTTGTTTATAAATTACCCAGTCTAGGGCCGGCCCGGTGGCGCACTGGAGAGTGCGCCGCTTGGGAGCGTGGCGGCGCTCCCGCCGAGGGTTCGGATCCCACGTGGAGACCGGTTCCCGCTCACTGGCTGAGCGCGGTGCGGGTGCAACACCGAGGGTTGCGATCCCATTACCAGTCAGTAAAAAAGACAAAAAAAGGAAAAAATAAAAAATTTAAAAATTTAAAAAAATAAATTACCCAGTCTAAGGTGTTTTGTTATAGCAGCCTGAATGGACTAAGACAGAAATTGGTACCAAGAGTGGGGTACTGTTCTAACAAATGAGGAAGTGGCTTTGGAATCAAGTAATGGGCAGAAGCTGGAAGAGTTTGGAGATGCATGCTAGAAAATCCTGTATAGCCATAAGTGGAACGTTAAGGGTGATTCTGGTCAGGGCTCACAAGAAGAGGAAAGGTATAAAGAAAGCCTCAACCTTCTTAGAGATTGTTTAAGAGGTCACAAACAGATGTTGATTGAAATATGGCCAGTAAAGGCCATTCTGATAAGGTTTCAGATGGAAATGAGGAATATGTTATAGGAAACCAGAAGAAAGGCAATCATTTTTATAAAGTGGCAAAGAATTTGCTGAACTGTATTCATGTTCTAGTGTTTTGTGGAAGAAGGAACTTGAGAGTGTTAGAAATAGGATATCTGGGGCCGGCCCGGTGGCGCACTTGGTAGAGTGCGGCACTTGGGAGCACGGCGGCGCTCCCGCTGAGGGTTCGGATCCCATATAGAGGTAGAGTGCAGCACTTGGGAGCACGGCGGCGCTCCCGCCGAGGGTTCGGATCCCATATAGAGGACCGGTCCACTCACTGGTTGAGCGCGGTGCGGGCATGACACAGAGGGTTGCGATCCTGTTGCCGGTCGCGGTACGGGTGCGACACCGAGGGTTGCGATCCGGTTACCGGTCATGAAAAAAGACAAAAAGAAAAAAAAGAAAAAGAAATAGGATATCTGGCAGAAGAAATCTCTAAGCAAAGTGTTGAGGGTATAAGATGGCTTTTCCTGACTGCTTATAGTAAAATGTGAGAAGAGAGAAACAAATTAAAGATGGAACATAGAATCAAAAGGGAAACAGAACTTAAAGATTTGGAAAATTCTCAGCCTGGTCATGTTGCTCATTCATAAATGAAACTGCATATTTGGAGAGAACAAGAGTGTGGCTAAGCACACTGCTTTGATAAGGAGGTTAGTAAGGATCAGCAAAAGCAAGGTACTATTCATAAAAAATGACCCCAAAAGCATTTCAGAGATTATTGGTGCTGCCCCTCCCATCACTGACCCTGAGTGCCAAGACCTAGGTGACAGAACTATGTGAAAAGAGGGAACTTGGGCACTCACAGGACATCAGTGCTTATTGCCAGGAGCCACCTCCCTGCATTTAGATGCAGCACTCCTTGGCTCTCCCAGGTATGGCTCCAATGGGCCCAAGTACAGTGAAGTCTTCATTGACCACCCCTCCAGAGGGCACAGGTGGTAAATCTTGGCAGTGTCCATGTGGCACCAACTCTACAGGCTCACAGAGTGCAAGAGCTGTGGGCATGTAGTACCTCCACCTAGTTTCAAAGGATGCCCTGGAGAGCCTTGGAGTTCAAGCAGAGAATTGCCACAGGCCACCACAGTGAGCCCCCTAGGGTAATGCCCAGAGGAGTCACAGGGTCAAGGCCACCCCTGAGACTGGTAAAGCCTGGTAGAGCCACCAATGTGCAACTCCAGCCTGAGAGAGCTAAAGGCACTCAACTCTGATGTGTAAGAGCTGCTACACGAGCTGCACCCAGCAAAGCCATGGGGGTGGGGCTACCCAGAGCCTCGGGGGCCCAACCTCTGCAACAATGTGTCCAGAAGGTGGAACTTGGAGTCAAAGATTATTCCAGATCCTTAAGATTAAACATTTGCCCTGTTGGATTTTGGATTTGGTTGGGATCTGTTATCTCTTTGTTCTTTCCTATTTCTCCATTTTGGAAAGGGAATGTCTATGCTATGCCTGTCCCACCATTGTATTTAGGAAGCACATAACTTGTTTGATTTCACAAGTTTACAGCTGGAGGGGAATTTGCCTCAGGATGATTCTCACCCATATCAGATTTAGATGATATTTAAGTGAGACTCTGGACTTTAGACTTTTGAGGCAATGCTGGAACAAGTCAAGATTTTTGGAAATATTGGAAAAGAATGAATGTATTTGCATGTGAGAAATATCCTGAAAGTGGCTTGAAAAAACTCAAGATAAATTCTGGTGACCAAAACTTTTGATGTATTGAAGCTAAGTAGTTTAAGTGTCAGGGGATTTGCCATAACTTATGCTTTACAGTAGCTGCCTACAGTAAAATAGCTCAGCAAGGTACCCCATATGAACTGCACATGAACTGTGTGAAAGCAAAGCAATGTCATGGGAGAAACACATAGTCTCTCTCCTCAGGAAGATAATGTTTCATGTCTTTGTAGACTGATCTTTACTGAATCGTTCCTTTTGAATGTCATTGATATCCCTGTAGTATTGATTTGGACACTGTTATGAACTGAATGTTTGTGTCCCCCCCCCCAAATTCATATATTGAAACCTATCTCTAATGCAATAGTATTAGAAGGTGGGGCCACTGAGAAATGATTAGGTCATGAGGGCAGAGCCCTCATGAGTGGGATTAGTGCCCTTATAAAGGAGTCCTGAAGGAGCTTGTTCATCCTTTCTACCATGTGAGAACATGTAGAAGGTGCCATCTATGAGAAATAGGTCCTCACCAGACACCAAATCTGCTGGTGCCTTGATCTTGGGCTTTCCAGCCTCCAGAATGGTTAGCAATAAATTTCTGTTTTTTGTACATTACCCACAGTGTTATAACACCAAGGTCAAAGGTTTGGATTCCCATATTGGACATCCACCAAAAAATAAATAAATAAATAATCCAATATAAGTATTTTGTTATAGAGGCTCAAATGGACTAAGACAGCAGGAAAAGCCTATGCCACATGACAAGAGTCCTGGCCCCCACACTCACCAGGGGGAGCACAACATCCAGAGCCACACAATGACCTGGCTTTGGGATCCCTCAGGAAAAACACATCCAAGAGTAGTGGTTCTCAAAGTGTGGTCCATGGACCAGTATCGTCATCATCTGAGAACTGGTTAGAAATGCAGATTCTCGGGCCTCATCCCAGGCCTGCTGATTCAGAAACTCTGAGGGCAAAGCCTAGACATCAGTGTTTTAACGAGCACCCATGTGATTCTGAGGCTCACATGAATTTGAGATCTATTACCCTAAATATTACCAATCTTGGAGACTCTCTCTTAAATATGAAGGGATGACCAAAGATCAATAACTATTGAAGAAAACTTCCCAGATTAAAAAGGTTCCAAAATAATCAAACAGAAGAAAGTGACCCAGGAGGACATAGATAATGTAGGGAACAGGAGAAAAAAAGAAAACAAAACTCTAACTCATATCCTCAAAAACATTTGAGAATGTTTTGTCATTTTATATTCCTAAAACAAGATCCAAATGCTAGTGAGAAAAAAAATAAAATAAAATCCGAGAATTAGGAATAGCAGTTGTAACAGAATGTTAAGTGGAATTTTTCTGTCCTGGAAAGTCCCTGAAATCTCAAAGTTGGTAACAATGGATGATAACTTCACATTCTGAAGAGAGGTGTTACCACATTCAGGACAGGTCTTACTAAAAAAAAATAGCAACATGGCCCAGTAACTACCATCCCCAGACATCTATAGAAGCTGGAAACTCCAGTTCATGGAAGTGAAAGGGTCCTGAATCTCTTTTCCTCCTGATGTTGCTTTCATCAACTCAAGCCAGGTGAAGGGGGAGTCCGAGAGAACTCCTTAGATCAGGAGACTGCCTTCAGAAAAGGGAGTCTGCCCTCCCACTCTCTGGCTGGAGCTTGCTGATTCAGAAACTTGGAGGCTTGCTCTGGTACTCCAGACAGTGAGAGAGTATTAGGAGTATTACTGTGTCTGCTGAAGTTTGAGGACCTACACAAACCCAGAGAATGGTGCCCCAATCTCACCTGGGTATGATAAAGGCAGGAGGTTGGTGGGAGCAGACCACCATGGCAGGGTAGGGACTGGGGGAAGGTGAGGGTTTTCGGCCAAGTGACCCCGGTTTCTTGCAGGCACCCCATATGCTAGCGTGAGGAAGCCCCTACAGAAGGAGGTTGTGGGGTGAACTGCTGGGGACAAGAGCTGGGGTGCCAAGTGACCCCGGTTTCTTGCAGGCACCCCATATGCTAGCGTGAGGAAGCCCCTACAGAAAGAGGTTGTGGGGTGAACTGCTGGGGACAAGAGCTGGGGTAGGGCACAAAAAGAGTGCTGGGAGCAGTAGGAAACTCCAACACCCAGAAGAAATACAAATGGACCCCTGAGAATGCTGGCATTTGAACATCTACCCTGAGGAGGATGCTGACAAACTGTAACAGCCCCTCTCATGTAAGTCTTTGTTCCCTTTTCTCTGATGTTCCCGTCCCCTGCCTAGAACCTAGAGGATCAGAGCATGGAGACAGGAGGAAGAACAATAGGTCAGAACAGGCCTTACTCCTTTAAGCCACCAGCTGAGCTAGAGGCCAGGGAGAAGCTGTGGATTTGATGTAAGATTGAAGTTTTAAATTGGACTGGCCTGGATTTTTTAATGCCTGAAAATGAGTCTTAATTATCAAAATGAGACTTATTCTTGCAACTGAGAACAACTGAAAAGAGATGGAACCTGCCCAGTATATCGTCAAGTGTCAAGGAAGGGACAGCTGAAAGGACATGTCCAAGGGCAGTGGTTGAAGAAAAATGTACACCAGCAAATTGTGCCTGCTCAATAAGCTGTCTACTCACTGTGTAGAACTACGCAGACATCTACCAGAGGAAGAATGGAAAGAGTTCAGTGTGGGAAAGGAAATAGGGGCCACAGGGAGCTGAAATCGGTGGCTTATTTTTCATCACAAACCCTTTGGTACTCTTTAGCTTTTAATCATATGCATCTGTTACATTAATATCATTTTTGTAAATGTTTTCCAGTCATGCCATGAACCTCTATTTCCCGGTTACACAACAAAGCCATGCCACCTGGCATCTGCTGGGTCCCACACTTAACTACGTATCTCAAGGACTATGAAAGCTGGTCTCCAGCTTGTGTAGAATTTGGAAGGTCTCCAAGCCACCTACATGCCCCTCACTCTTAACTGGTAACCCATTCCTGATCATTTATACTGTGTAGGAGCAGTGGTTAAAACGCAGGGGCTCTGAAGCTAGACAGATTGAGTTCAAGTCCCAGGTCCCCCACTTTTTAGCTGTGTGACCTTGAACAAGTTATTTCCACCCTCTGAAGCATTAGTTCTCCCCTCTTCATACCCCTATGACATAGAACTAACGTCCATCTTTTAGGGTTATAAAGGTTAAATGTGATAACGTCAAGATTAAATATGATGATTTCGTCACACAGAACCGCTTAACCCTTCACAAGTGAGTCTCTTCTGTCCCTCTCCTCTTCCCACCTGCCCGTGGTTAGCAGTGCCATCTCACTCTCGTTCCCAACCCCTCCTCCTTACTCCAACAATTTTTGCTCCAAGTTTTGCTCCAACAATTTTCTCTTCATAGCTTCAATCTCTCAGGTTCCTGTCTGTGATTCCCCTACAATTAAAAACATCATCTACCCTTGCCTGACTCTGTCTTAGCTGCGCATACAAGTCATCACTTTCCCCCTCTTTCCCCAAAAGAGTCATCTCCTAGGTGGTTCCATGTCTTCAGCTCCTACTCACTCCTCAACCCCCTGCCACTCCACTGAAGCCACTTGAAGAAGGTCACCAAGGCCAGAGGACCCTTCCCCAGCCTCACCTCTCTTGCCTTCGACCCTGATCATTTCCTTGTGCTTGAACCCCTACCTTCCAACACTTTTCCTCCTGGCTTTCTGACCACCTCTCTGACATCTCTTTGAGGGTCTGCTCTGAAGGGGTTAATGCTGGGGTCCCAGAGGCTCTGCTCTTGGCTCCTTCCCGTATCATCCGCAAGTACTTTCTCCAAGGGGAATCTATCCATTCCCACAGCTTCAGGGCCCTCTACACCCCTCCATCTCCAGCCCATCAAGCCCAGCCCTGTGCATGCACTGTACTTGCTTGCTCACCAGATATAGGAGATGAGGGGGAACACAGGTGCCCCACCCACCAGAAACAGCAGCCGCCAGTGGGGAAGGCTGTAGGCAAGCCCCGTCAGGAACATGATCCCCACAGCAAAGAAGCAGTGTTCCAGGATGATGGCATGGGCCCGGTGCTCGCCCACTAGCCACTCGGTGGCTGTGCAGAGGCAGAGAGGACAAAACCATGGTCAGCTCAGGGTCCCCAGGGCTGCTGCTACATCCAGCCTTCTGAGATGCCCCCACCCTGCCCTGGTCAGTTCAGATGAAGCAAAGGTTCTGCCTGTTCATGATCTGTAATAGGTCCACAGATAGCTCCTCAAAGCTAGGCAGAGTAGCTCTGTTCCCCTGGGGCACACCCTAGGTTCCTTGCCTGGTCTCCTAATCATGTATATAGCCTTCCACACCTTTTCAACCTGGCTTGCTCCCTCTGAACACCTCCCACCTGACCTCATGCCTCTCATAGAGAAGCCTGGTTCTAGGCACGATACCTCACCCATGGCCTGATACATAGCAAAGCAAGGCATCATTACTGTCCCAGTCTTTGCTCTGAGTGCACTAGTGCTTTGGCCCCCTAGACCTAGGGCTCTGTGGAAGACCCAGTTCCCTCTGGCTGGGCTCTGGTAAGCTCCTAATGAAAAGAGGTCTTCTGCCAGGGAACCCTGAGCCCACCAGTCATTTGCAGCTATAAAACCGTGTGAGTATATGTGCACTGGGAGCTTTAGCTTTACACAGGCCTGGGTTGAAATCCTGCCTCTTTCACTTAACTGCTGTGTGACGCTGACTGAGTTGGTTAACTTCTCTGAGGCTAAAGTATGCTCAGCCACAGGAGTAATTTACTGAATAGAGTGCTGTCAGGATGAAATGAAACAATGCATTCAAAGGGCTTAGCAGCTTGCATGGACCTTCTTAAGGGCTCCATAAATGTAAGCCATGTGGGGGGTATGCAAGGAGTATGGCGGGGGAATGTGTGGGGTACAAAGGGGCTAGGCTGGAGGATGAGAGTAGAAGGGTAGTCTGGACACTGAGTCACTGGCATCTCCAGGCAGCCAGGAGTGGAGAATCCTTCCACTTCTGCCTGCCTGACTGGGCCCTGACTGTACCCTGTGGACTCCCAGTTTGTAGGCACCAGCCCCGCCCTGCCCTAGCTGGGCTGACCCCACCCCCATGCTGCCCCACCCCCTTGAGGCCCAGTCGCACCTAAAGACACACTGCTGATGGCATAGCCCACCACTGCCTGCGAGAGGCTGAAGCGGAAGAACAGATACTGGTGAAAGCTGTTTACGAAGGCTGTCCCGAAGCCGAAGATGATCAGCCCCAGCAGCGACAGCAGGATGGTAGGGTAGCGACCCAACCTACAGGCATTGAAGGGAGGCTGCACCAAGGCGGGGACCTCCTTGGCTGGCCCCTTCTGGGCACTCAAGCTAGGGCCTGAGCCATCACGGGCTCTGGAGCATCCTATGCTCACCTCCCCCAGCTTGAGACTCAAGTCTGAATGCCCATGAGGAAGAGGCAGGTGGAGTGTCCAGAGACCAGAAGGGACTCCAGGAGACTCACTTGTCACTTATGATCCCGAAGATGAGAGACCCTATCAGCAAGCCCGTCATGAATATGGTCTGTACAACATCCTTGTGCAGTTCCTCGCCACATACCAGGTCAAACTGGGGGTTAGACACAGGGATTGGCCACAGACCTCCACCCATGGTCAGCCTTTTGGGCCCAGAGACTGAGCCTTGCCCTGGTGATAACTTTAAGCAGAGGAGACCAGGGGTGGGGCAGGTAACTGTGCATGTAGCATGCCTCAGCTGTTGCCCCTGCATCCCATCTGCACCTGGCTGACTCTGGGAGCTAGGCCTGGAGGGAGGGACCAGAGGCCAAGATGGGGGAAAGGTGTGGAGGATTCCNTGGGAGCTAGGCCTGGAGGGAGGGACCAGAGGCCAAGATGGGGGAAAGGTGTGGAGGATTCCTGCCTTATGCATAAAGGCAGGAATCACTGAAGACCTTTCCCCAACAGATGTTGGGCCCCAACCTGGAGATTTAAATTGGGCAGGACTGTGTTATAAAGGGCCCAGGTTGCAGCTCAAGTTGAGAAACCCAGATACCTGATCAAAGCCGCTTTTTTCCCCATTCCTTAATCTTCTGTGAGTTCAGAGAGCAGAGCCACAACTACAGAAGTGATTCCCTGGACAGATGGCAAGCCCTGCCATCCAACACCTGTCTCTACCCCCAAATGCACTCTAAGAGCTCCCTGGCTAAAACAGGGGGGGGCCAGGGCCATGCAGCAGGAATTCTAATTGTCTGCCCTGGTGCTGTCTTTGCAGGGTGACCTTGGGCCAAATATTTCCCTTCTCTGAGCCAATTATTTCCCCTCTCTGAGTTTTCCCACCTGTTTGGTGGGGGCACATCTCTGGGCTTATGGGATAGCTACAGACAACACAGGACAAGGCACACCTCTTATTTCCCTTCTCTGAGCCAATTATTTCCCCTCTCTGAGTTTTCCCACCTGTTCGGTGGGGGCACATCTCTGGGCTTATGGGATAGCTACAGACAACACAGGACAAGGCACACCTCATTGATCAGTGATCGCCTCTTGGAATCAGGATAGATCCATCCATCTTGGCATGTTTCTGTGTGGTTAAGGCCAAATTGGATGATAGAATCCAGATCCCAGTCCACAGGCAAGTACATAAGGCACGTCCGGAAACTGCCGTTGGGCTGTCGGGGTAGAGTCAGATTCAGCTGCTCTGCCTCTGACAGGTTGGGGCCCACTGCCAGGATCCAGCTGGTGTTGCAATAGGGCTTCTGGGCTGTGAACACGAAGTGGTCAGCAAACATGAAGAAGGCTGACAGGATGTTAGGGAAGAAGGTGAGGGCCACCAGCCTCCGCTGGAATGTGCCAAACTCCCCCACTGCATCCAGAATGTTGGCAAACTTGTCATCCTGCTTGGCCCCCAGTCTGCGTAGCAGCATCTCCAGAGACCAGGAATGGGGATGCACTGATGCCTCATGCTGGCTGAAGTTCCTGGGACCATCCTGGGACCCGAGGTCTACCTTGGAGTTGTTTTCTCCTGCCATCTGTTCAAAGAAAGGATGCAGCTCAGTGTGACTCAGACCACTTTGCAGATATCAGAGGCCAATATGGGAGCTGCTGACCAGAAACTGGTCTTTGGCTTGGAACAATATAGATTCCAACCTCAATGTTCTCAGTAGCTTATGAAGTTTCTCCGTTAACATAATTTGTCCAACCATCCTTGATTTTTAGTGCAATTAAGAACTTTAATGTTTTAGAAAATGCTATGCTTCTGTTGTCATGAATGACTCTCCTACAACTTCCTCACAACCAAAACTTTGTTTACACACAAAATGAGACACCACTGGTCTTGCAAAAGGTAGGAGAGGTTTCCAGGGGCCTCAAAAACAAACAAAAAGAATTTTTTCCTTCAAAAGACAAACAAAAAAAGATCTATATCAGGAGTGGCCAGGACCTGAGACCAAGGTGGGTGGCTTGACCTTGGCCATGGAGGTGGTGAGCCAAGGCCGGTGCAGTAGGGCGCCAGAAAGCATGTAGAGCCAAACTGGAAAGACAGGAGGTAAGGAGAGGAGGAAGGAAAGCAATAATGACTGTGAAGATGTTACCTTGGAACAGCAGCAAGGAAGGGAAACTGTTTTGAGCCAGAACCCTCAGCAGGGCTAAAGAGGTCCTGGGGCATGACACCCCTTGGCTACATAGCAGAAGCAGATGCAAGCTTTCTCTGAAGGAAAATTAATCCAAGATGCCTGCAAGACTTCCATAGATTAAGATCAGGCAAAAAGATTACAGCTTGAGAAGGCAAGGCACTTGGAGAATCAACAGAACCCAGAAACAACAGATTTAGACTGCACATGTTGGAATTGTCAGATACAGAATATAGAACAGCTACCATATGAACTTTTAAAAGAAATACTAGATGTAATTACAAAAATGAACTTCAGGGAAAAGCAGACACCTTTGGAGGGAAGACAGTGAATTACTAAAAATGGAAACTTGTTGAATAAGTTGTCATTGTTGAAATAAAAACACTAAAAGGAAGGTTAAATCGATTTGACACAAAGAATTAGTGAACTGGAATATACAACTGAAATGTGAAAAAGAGGTAAACAGACTTGGTGGATAGAAAATTTAACATATATCTAATTGGAAGCCCGGGAGGAGAAATGGAGAAGCAATATTTGAAGAAGTTAAAAAAAAAAATTTTCTAAAACTTGAGAAACATGAATCCTTAAATTCAGGAAACACAACTTATCTCAAGCAGGATAAATAAAAAGGAAACCTTTGGCTAGACACATTGTAATGATGCTGCAGGACACCAATGACGAAGAAAAGATCTTGAAAAACAGCCAGAGAAAAGACAGATCAGTGACTCATGAATAGTGTCAGCAGTCTTCTGTTAATAAGCAGAAGCAACAAGGAAACCAGAAGAGTGAAGAATATCTTCAAAATATTGATAGAAAATTATAGCCAACCTAGATTTGTTTACCTGGCAAAATTATCTGTCAAGAACTAGGGTAAAATAAAGACAGTTCTAGATAATCAGAAAATAAAAGAGCATGCAAGCAAGAGACCTAATTTAACAGAACTGCTAGAAGATAAGAAGGAAAATTATCTCAGGAGGACAGCTTAAGAAGTAATAATGAGCAATCAAAATGGTAAATATGTAAGCAAACTCAAATATTAATTGCATCAAATAATAAAAAATAGTGTCAAATTGTAGAGTTAAATAAAGAAAATGTTAGGCAACAATAATATACAAGGCAGGAGGGAAGGATGAGAGCCAAAGTATTTGTTTTTCTGTCATTCAGGAGGGGAATCCAGACTTTGAAGTTACGTTTGCATGATTAAATTTCAACAGTAACCACGACAATAATACAGCTAGAAAACAGTAGTGGAAAAAGGTAGACTAAAAGGAAAACCAAACAAAAACAAAATTTTAATCCAGAAAAGGACACGGAAAGAGGAAAAAAAGGAAATATAGGAAAAGTGGATTGCAATAATTGTGATTGGTAAAATGAGCCAAAGTATATTATCACAAGTTAAAAGAGACCATTGGATTGACCTTTTCTAAAATCAAATTAATGTGCTATTTTTAAATAGGGTGGTTAGTATTTCCCAGTTTGCCCAGAACATACCCAATTTATGTCTGTTGTGCTGGTATAATGAGTCACTGTGCTCCTTTTCCCTCTTAATAGTATCGTGATTTGAATGACAATCTGGTCACCCTGTAAGAAGGCACACTTAAAGCTTAAGGACATGAAAAGGCAGAGAGTAAAAGGATAGAAAAAGTTATATTAGGCAAACATTAAAACAAAGCTGATTAGTTATATTACTAGCAAACAAAACAAAGATAAAGCACCATTTGGAATAGAGAGACTCGCTATCCAAAAATAAAAGGTTCGATACGCCAAAAAAAATGTTAATTTTAAATATATATGAACCTAATAAATGCCTTCAAATATATAAAACAATAACGGGTAGAATAGGAGAAACTGACAGTCAGTATCATAATGAGAAATTTTAATGCATCTCTTTCAAGAGGTCAAACATACAAAAACTTAGCAAAGATATAGATTTGAATAACACAATTAACAACCTTTATCTAATAGCCATTGATAAAATTCTTCATCTAACAACTAGAGGATACACATTTTTCTCAAGCCTACTTGGAGCATTTGCAAAACTTTATCATGTACCAGGCAATAAAACAAGCCTCAACAAATTTCAAAGAATGGGTATCATACAGACCTGTCTTCTGACTACAATGCAATTAAAGTCAGTAACAAACAGCTTAATTACTTACTTAAAATTTGTGTATATTTTCCATACATTTGTAATACAGTTAGTTTCATTTGTCTGCATCCCATCCTGGTGATTTCCTAAATGATCTTTTTTTAATTTTAATTTATCGATATACCATGTCATTGATTTTCATGTTCCTTTACCAATTCTTCCTTTTCCCTCCCCCCATCAACATCATATCTGTTCATCTGTCTTAACAAGTTCAAGGAATTGTTGTGTCTTCTTTTTGTTTCCCCCACCCCCATTTATTTGTTTGTATATTTATTTATTTTTATTAGCTCCCACAAATAAGAGAGAACATGTGGTATTTCTCTTTCTGTGCCTGGCTTATTCTACTTAATATAATTTTCTCTAAGTCCATCCTCGTTGCTGCGAATGGTAGTATTTCATTTTTTTTTAAATAGCATAATAGTATTCCATTGTGTAGATATACCACATTTTCCTTATCCACTTATCCAATGATGGGCATTTAGGGTGGTTCCAACTCTTGGCTATTGTAAATAGCACTGCAATAAACATGGGAGTACTGGTATCCCTTCAACATGATCATTTCCATTCCTCTGGGTATATTCCCAGCAGTGGAATAGCTGGGTCATATGGTAGATCTATCTGTAATTGTTTGAGGAACCTCCCTATCATTTTGCAGCCCCACCCACAGTGTAGGAGGGTTCCTTTTTCTCTGCATCCTCGCCAGCATTTATCATTCTCAGTCCTTCTAAATGATTTTTTTTAAGTTTGTATACATTAAGGTTCACTCTCTGTGCTGTAAAATTCTATGGGTATAAGAAACACATAGTATCCACCATTAGAGTATCATACAGAAGTTTTGCTATCCTAAAAAAATACCATGCTCCGCCCTACCCATCTTCTCAAAATCCTAGCAACTACCGCACTTTTTACTACATATTTAGCCTTTTCCAGAATATCATACAGCTGTAACCACACAGAATACAGCCTTTTCAGACTAGCTCCTTTCACTTAGCAATATGTATTCAAGATTCATTCATTTTCATGGCTTAATAGCACTTTTTTAAAATCACTGAATAATATTCCACTGTATCCATGTACCACAGTGTGTTTACCTATTCGCCTATCAAAAAAGACATCTCAGTTGCTTTCAATGTTTGACAATTATGAGTAAAGCTGCTGTAAACATTTGCATGCAGGTTTTTGTGTGGACATAAGTTTTCAAAGCAGTTGGGTAAATATCTAGGATCATGAATGCTGGATCATATGGTAAGAGTATGTTTAGCTTTGTAAAAGACTGCCAAATTGTCTTCCAAACTGTCTGTAGCATTTTGCATTTCCTCTGGGAATGAATGAGAACTTTTGCTCTGCATCCTCGCCAGGAACTGGCACTGTTTACTAGATTTTAGCAATTCTAATAGATGTGTAGTGGTATCTTATTGTTTTTAAATTGAAATGCCTAATGAAAATAATGTTGAGCATCTTTTCATATGCTTATTTTCCATCTGTATATCTTCTCTGGTGAATTATCTCTCAGATCTTTAGCTCATTTTTAAATTGGGATGCTTCTTTTCTTATTGTCGAATTTTGAGTTCTTTGTACATTTTTTATATATGTGTTTTGCAAATATTTTCTCCCAGACTGACTTGCATTTTCATTCTCCTAACAGTATCTTTTGCAGAGCAGAATTTTAAATTTTAATAAAATCCAACTTATTGATTTTCTTTCATATATTTTGCTCTTGGTATGGTATCTAAAATCTCACCACCAAACCCAAGGTCACCTAGATTTCTCCTTTGTTTTCTTCTAGAAGTTTTATGGGTTTGCATTTTACATTTAATTGTATTTTAGATCCATTTTGAGTTAATTTTTGTAAGAGGTGTGAGATTTATGTCTAGATTAATTTTTTTTTTTTTGCATATAGACATCCAGTTATTCCACTACCATTTGTTGAAAACATTGTTCTTTTTCCATTGAATTGCCTTTGCTCCTTTGTCAAAGATCAAGTGACTTACTTCTGTGGGTCTATTTCCAGGCTCCCTATTCAGTTCCATGAATCTATATGTACATTCTTTTGCCAGTACCATGCTATCTTGGTAGCTTGGTATCTACAGTAGCTTCATAGTAAGTCTTGAAACCCAGATAGTATGTCTTCTAACTTTTTCTTAACTATTATGTTAGCTATTCTAGGTCTTTTGCTTTACCATATGAACTTTAGAATCAGTTTGTTGATAACTACAAAATCACTTGCTGCATTTTTTATTAAGATTGTATT